ATAATAATAATAATAATAATAATAATATAAAATAATAATATATAATAATAATATATAATAATAATAATAATAATAATAATAATAATAATAATAATAATAATAATAATGATAATAATAATAAAAAAAAAAAAAGTCCGGGATGGGAATTGAGAACCCGGAATTCCCGGGAAGTTTTGGGAATTCCTGGGATGTGTGGGAGGGATCCGCTCCTTTCCCGATTCTCGGGAAAATGGGCAAAAAAAAACCCAAGAAAAACAACAAAAAAAAAATAAAAAAAAATTCCGCTTGACGTAGTTGGGTCACGTGGGGAAAAATCCCAAATCCAAAGGATCGGGAGCAAAAGGAGGTCGGGAATGAGGGGGAGGAGAAGGGAAGAGGGGATGGGAATTCCCATCTCTTTTTTTCCCAAAATCTCCCAAACTCCCCCCAAAAAAAGAACCCTCGTTGAGCCGGGAGGGGATTTTTGGGTTCCCCACGCGAGGATCAATCCCAGGGGGTTTTATTTTGATTTTATTTTGATTTTATTTTGATTTTATTTTGATTTTTAAATGACTTTATTTTGATTTTATTTTGATTTTATTTTGATTTTTAAATGATTTTATTTTGATTTTATTTTGATTTTATTTTGATTTTATTTTGATTTTTAAATTATTTTATTTTGATTTTATTTTGATTTTATTTTGATTTTTAAATGATTTTATTTTGATTTTATTTTGATTTAATTTTGATTTGATTTTGATTTTATTTTAATTTTATTTTGATTTTTAAATTATTTTATTTTGATTCCAAAGTGATTGATCATTAACCCTGGGATTTATCGCTTCTCCCAGCAAAGCTCGGGGGGGAGGAAAAAACTCCGATCCCTCCAGTCAAACCCAGAATATTTTCATTTTTTTATCCTTTTCGGGGTTCCAAAAAGGCGGAAAAATTCAAAATACTGGGTTTTTTTGGCCAAAAAACCCAAAATAATAAATAAAAAGAGATGGGGGGAGGTCCCCCCGCTAGGCCACGCCCCCGAGAGAAATAATTAATAGAGAAAAGAGATAAAAAAAACCCAAATCAAAACAAAGAGCGCGGGGAGGGGGTGGGGGAAGCCTCGCTCCATCCAGGGAATTAATGAAAAACCAGGAAAAACAAAGAAAAACAAAGAAAAACACAAAACAACAAAAAAAACCCCGTTATTTATTCCGGCTCCTTGTTCGTTTCTCTTTTTCCCTCTTTCCCACCCATTTTTTTTCCCTCCTACCCCCATTTTTGGGGTGAAAATCCCGATTTTCCCTCTTTTCTCCACTTTTTTCCCCCCCTTTTTCCCCTTCCCCTCTCCTTCCTTTGATTGAACTCGTGAATCGCCAACTCACAACTCATAAATATCATTTTTTCCCATTTTATTTTGATTTTTTTCCCCCTTTTTCTCAATTCCAGCTGCCTCTGCTGAGCGGGGGGGTGGGGATGGAAAACTTCCAAAAAAAAACCCGCGTGTAATAAAAATAATAAAAATAATAAAAATGATAAAAATGATAAAAATAATAAAAATGATAAAAATGATAAAAATGATAAAAATAATAAAAATGATTAAAATGATAAAAATGATAAAAATGATAAAAATAATAAAAATGATAAAAATAATAAAAATAATAAAAATGATAAAAATGATAAAAATAATAAAAATGATAAAAATGATAAAAATAATAAAAATAATAAAAATAACAAAAATGATAATAATAATAAAAATGATAAAAATGATAAAAATAATAAAAATAATAAAAATAACAAAAATGATAATAATAATAAAAATGATAAAAATGATAAAAATAATAAAAATGATAAAAAATGATAAAAATAAAAATAATAAAAATAAAAATAAAAATAAAAATAAAAATAAAAATTAAAATTAAAATAAAAATTAAAATAAAAATAAAAATAAAAATAAAAATAAAATTAAAATTAAAATTAAAATTAAAAATAAAAATTAAAATAAAAATAAAAATAAAAGTAAAAATAAAAGTAAAAATAAAAATAAAAATAAAATAAAAATAAAAATAAAAATAAAAATAAAAATAAAAATAAAAAAAATAAAAATAATAATAATAATAATAGTAATAATAATAAATCTGCAGGCAGAGGTTGAGGAAGGTCAGGGAACATCCGCGGGTGATTTATGGACTCGGGGATTTTGTCACAAGCGGAACATTTTTATTTCACATTAATAACATCAACATTCACAACGGAAACGGAGTTATTAAAACCCGGCCCGAATGTTTCCCAGAACGAAAATATTTTAAAATGAGATCGCTTTTGGATTT